TTGCAAATCTTTTTTCCTATTTTTTAATTTTTTTTTTAACAATTTCCCCCCCACAAATCATTGAGTAAAAGATCCCTATTAACTTCCTTTAGATTTTCCATAATTATAGAAATGCATAAAACATAACCATGAAACCATATTTTCATTAAATAATAAAATATAAACTTTTTTATTCCTCCCATTGATCATTAACGTCCCCGTATTAATATATAATGTCCCCGTATTAAATATGGCGGGAAGGATTAATTAAGATGCAATGTTGTTTGTGTGGGTTCCACTATATTAAATTTTATTTCATTACAAATTTGGTTGACTTTGGGGCTTATGGCAACGTGGCAGCTGCTCATAGGAGGAGTCATAAGCCGATAAATGTGGACCGTTGGATATTCTTTAATATTGATGATTAACGGTCCAGTGTTTAGTGACGTGGCCTATGTCATGAGCGCAGTAACATGGGATTAGTATTCGACTGATGAACACTAATTATACATGCGACCCACTACTTTTTGTTTTCTGATTTATTTTTATTTTATCTATTTCTAGTCAAACCTTAATTCATTTCTCGATATAGTAGTTTAGTAAAGTACTATTATACTGAAAATGGAATTGCCAAGTTATTTTGATGGTCCATCTCTATAGAAGATTAGCATTTTGTTTTGTGAAAGTTGTTACTGTTTGTTGGGCTTAAGTAAGAATTATAACAGTAATCTTTATTCAATATACTTTAAGTTGAGCCGAAACCCTAATTGAGGCCCAAGTAATTCGTAGTTCCTAACCCATTGAAAGATTTTTTTATAAAGCCGACTTGATATCTATCATCGATAAAAAAACACATAAAAATCATTTGACAAATGAACATCAGTAATAGCATAATAGGTGTTGTAAACAGTAAACTATATACTATAAAGCAAGATTTATATCAAACATATATGTGTTTGTATATATCAAATTATGTAAAGAAGAAATAACGAGAGAGAATGAATATATTTCTAAAGAGGATAGACGAGATAATAAAGAGGAAGGAACATATGATCTTTTATTATTCAACGTCGATAGACCTTCTTACTATTACAAAAAAAGACATGTATTTATAGGGAGTAAGCCGAGTCGGTTGATGTTACTTAGGCTTGAAACAGTTACTATAATAATGCTTCGTAGATACTTATCTATACAAATGACCCTTTTTTACATGTGAAGTAACTAAATGGATAATTACTATCTATTTTTTTAACAATAAGCATATACTAAGGGGATGTATAGCTGTATCCATTCGTGTTCTATGATAGATTTCATCTATTATATAATCACAAACTTTAGAAAAACAAACAAATACAAATTTGGTGTTATTGGTTATAGTTCTAGACTTCAAGTGAATGTCTCTTCTATAGTTTAGCAAAAAAAAATGTCTCTCAAATAAATTAATCATCTAAATTTTTGTTACAGTTTCAGATTATTAGAAATATGATTATTTTCTTTTTGTTTTTTTTTAACATGTGTTTCATTAAACTTGAAAATGTTTTTACAATCTCAAATAAGTAAATGTTGAATACATAAAAGTTTCAGATTATAAACTTGAATTATGCGCAAGTTATGTTAAAGTTTCAGATTATTAGAAATATGATTAGTTTTTCTTTTAATGAATTTAAGGTGTGTGATATTAATTTTCTCATTAATTTTTTTAAATTGATCTAGTAATAATTTTTTTTTATCTTTTCCCTTATCCCGGATCATAGTGAAACTAATTCTTAAAACTTTTAGAAAGATAAATCTATTATTAGGGAATTCTCTCTCCATGTAAAGTGTACACATCATAAAAAAAAATGTTACATTAAAATTTATAGTACTAAATGCTCATTTTTAATGCATGTTTTTATATTTATTATTATTTATAATTATTATAGATTAAAATTTAAATTAAAAAAATGAAAATAAGTTAGTAAATGAAAGTAAATACAAGATTATGAAATATTATTTCGTAATAATAATATAGGGAGGCGAAATAAAACTAGATGTTAAGAGATACAACTGTGTATCGGAAGATGACGAAAGAAATGTTTAGTGAAATGTGTTCGAAAAGAATTTGACTATACTTAAAAAAAAAAAAAGCATAAGACTAACATAAAATCTTTTAAATCGTATTCACTATCTAAAATAAAAAGATGACATATATTATTGGACCATGTTATCATGTTTAAATTGTATTAACTATCTAAAATAAAAAGATGACATGTATTATTGGACCAAGTTATCATGTTTAAAGTCGAGCGAATTCGTCTCACCATGTAAACGTCATATATGAAATATGATAGGGGCATTCATGACTCGATCAAACATTATTATCTTATCAGAATTTTCACTTGATTTGAGAGATAAAGCATCCCCAAACTCATTATAACATCATGAGTATTTCGTTTATACATTTGAAAGAAATGATAGTTTATATTTGACACATTCACATTTACTGTAGGGTTACGTGACTATTGAGTCAATGGTCAATATTAAAGCTTTCCGGCGATGTTCTTATAATACCTGAGTATAAAAAGAATTTTCTCCGCGGTTAAGAATCATGGGATGATCACTAAAGTCGTTTCGTCTTCCCACAAAGTTCATAATTTACTTTGGTTACCACATGACACTTAGCAACTCATTGCATTTCAAATAAAAAAATATCTTTGACA